TGCAACTTGAATGTCAACATAACAATACTCAACGTGTATCTCAATGGGCTCTGTTTCATCCTTCATTAAGAAGCAGAAAATTTGCAACTTGAATCAATATCAACACATCTTATATAGAATGTGCAAAAGCCCCTTCTTGTATATATAAAAAAATCTATATTTTTTAAATTGAGCAAATAAGAAGACTTTCTCAATTCGAAGATTGAAATACTTAAAATGTCCTTAAAGCAAAATAATAAAAAAAAACACTTCTATGGATAAAATTTATTAGGTGCATTTTGGAAGTTTTATCATAGTAAAAAAAAAAAAAAATTGGTCAAAATTGAGAACAATTTGCTACAAAATTTTAAATTATAGAGATTTATATGCATATACTAAATAGTTTGGAGGTTTGTTGCACATTTTTTTATATAGTAGGCACAAGTAGGGGTGCACACGGATTAAAGATACCATTATAAAGTATTTTCGAATTAAATTGATCTTAGTACTTTTATATATATTGAAATTGAACCGAACCATGATATTAGTGAAACTGAACTGAAACGTGAAAAAATAAAACCAAATCGAACGGTCCAGTTGATTCAATTTACCAATCCAACCATTTTTTTGTGCACCACAAAAAAACATACTAACCTCTATACTCCAGACACAAAGTGGAAAGGATCGGAAAATACTAACCTCTATACTCCATTTCCATAATTTTTAAAAAAATTGTATAATGAAAAAAAATACCTATACAAAATAGAAACCAAGGCCCAAAATCAAAAAGAATACTAACAAGGTTACGACCGGCCCAAACTAAGCCCAAGAAGAAAGACTGACTAGCAAATGAGACAACGGAAGACTGGAGCACTTCACTTCCACACTTCTCTACACTTTCTTCTTTTATTTATGTACATTTCCTCCTCTCAATTACTACTATTTTTGCAAGTACTCTAATGCCCGGGTGACCGAATTGCTTTTCGTGTTCAAATCTTGCACCCCCTTCTCTTCTCAATCCGCTAATCACTATAATTCTTAAAATTCTTACTCTAAAATAAATAAATTACTATTATTTTACTTTCTTTTCGTTACCATCTGGCTCTTGATCAACAGCTCCCATGCAAGTTCTCCTCCAATTTTTTTTTTTTTTCAGCAGTAAGTAAGTTATTTCTCCTCTTTTTTGTTATCTTTATTCTTTCGAAAAATTATTGGACATTTCAAAAGTGTCTATTATGTTGTATCTGGACCGGTAAACATTCATTATTTCTCTTACTAATAGAAAATACTTACACATAATAGTAATTCCGTACACAATCATTTAGCATTTAGGCTCGTAAAATATTTTTCTTGGAAAATATTTTGTTTTTTAGATAAAATATATTTTTTTTATTTTTATGTTTCGATGTTTGGCAAAAATGTAGGTCGAGTCTATCTAATGAAGAATGTAAAATAACTTATCTAAAATTGATTAATAAATTATTTTTATTATATTTTAATATTTTTTTTTATAAATATTTTACTACAAACTAACACCAAAAACGCAAAAAATATTTTATCAAATAAATTATCTTTAGAGTCCCTTTAACATCAAAATATTCGGATATAGTTTTTTCTCTTTTTTTTTTTCTTTTTTTTTTTTCCACTAATCTAACCACAATTATAATTAGAAGGCAACAATTGAACTTATCGAAAAATAAAAATTAAAAAACTGATTTGATTTTTTGTAGCACAACACGACAATTGGCATGCCCTTGGCCACCTGGTTATGCCACAAAATCCACCGACTATGTGACAAAATGAATGAGTAGATCACTGGGGAGGTTCCAACAACCAATCAGCTCCAACAATAGATCAGTCATCAGCTGCTGATGACATCAAGAGCAGAGAAAGTGCCTCCAGTTTCGCAATTGCTGAGAAGCATGGATGTGGGTACAGATATAATATGATACAATAAATTTTAAAAATATAAATAATACGAAGTAATATATTTTTATATTATTTTTTTTTAATATTATGAATTTAAATATAACTATTAATATAAGATAAGATTTCATTTCAAAACACATAAAACAAACATTTTTAATCAGATACGTGTTTAAGTTATGTTATTATTGTTAAAAAAATTATATTTTAATATTAAAAAATTATTAAAAATATGTTATAAAGTATCTGAGAAATATTGAAAGTATCGAATATGTATTAGAAATTAAAAATATATATTTTAAAATTATGAATACGTGTAAGAAATATATTGGACGCGTATACATGAGTATTTGAAGAGTATCGGTATATCATACGTCGCACTCATAGAAGTATTCGTACTTCCTAACCCACAATAGACTACATGTATGGCTATTCTTCTAACTTAAATCATAGGGCGTGCTTAATTTATTGCTCATAAAGAATTCACGAAATATAAAATTGTTTTGAAAGGATTATAAAAGATGGTTCTAAAAAAAAAATAAACATGCTTTCCTATTACTGAATTTTGGGTCCTCTAATCTCAAAACAATGAAGGGTGTTTATTGTCTAGTACTCACGGTGCAGGGGCCTTGTTGGGTATTTGTTTGTTTCCATTCTCCCACCAACAGTGTTCAATTTTCATATTTTGGGTAAAGATATTATTTTATAATAATTTTCAATTTTCATATTTTGGGTAAAGATATTATTTTATTATTCCTTCCGTTCCATAAAAAGTATCACTTTTAGGGAATCGTAACTCTCACAGTTCTCGAAACATGCTACTTTTTTTGGGACGGAAATAGTATTATTTAGAAAAAATGAAGTGAAAATATTATTTTCCGAGATGTGGCACACGACTTTTGTGTTCTCGTTGGGTCAATCTATCACGCAACGTAAACACTTATTTATACACACTTTAACTCTTATTTAAATTTGGTGTGGGACAAGTGCACTTGTAACATTCTCTTTCATCCGAACTCGTACAACGCCCTTGTTACGATTGGATTACCCTGCCTACCTGGGATCAGATCTGGACGCCCTTCGAGCCTGGCGATTGACTTGATTCTAACTGTAACGGGTGAACGCTTGTTCATTTACCAAGAAAACTCAAGCTGTTGGATAATATTGCATACCCACCCATTTATACACACTTTAACCCCATCCAAATTCAATGCAGGACAAGTCTCACTTGTAACACTATGGTTCTAAATGCCAATTGAAGCACGTACTATGGGAAAAGTATAGAAAATGTCAAGAGACCTTTGTGTCCCATTTGACAAATTAAAAAAAATAACTACTGAAACAATCTACAAACCAACCAATTAAATAATATAAGCACAATTAAAAGGGATCAAGAGATGTCAAGTATTTAAGTGGATTAAACCAACAACAAAAGTCTGAAAATCAAACGGTACATCCTTAATCTCCTCAACTCTATTCTTCAACCTTGAGAATTTCAAGTATAATTAGAAGATGACTCAGCAACAACAATTGAAACCAATGAATTCGAATCCGCTGTTTGTTACAACAATGCGCTGCATAATTTTTCAACACATTAAAATGTATTGACAAATTACAATACCATTAGGGCAAATAATTGTTACCGTAGAGAATCAGGCATAAGAAAAAAATTGTGATGACTCGAATTTTTTTGATTTTAATTTAATTAATTTATTATTTTTGGATTGTTTAAATTAATTAATTATTTATTAAAGGTAGTTGAAATTTAATTTAGTTTTGTTATGTAATATATATATTATATTTATGACGGAGGAAGTGGGCAGCAGCGAAATGGGAATTTAAATGGTGAAAGTGTTTTTTTTTGGCGGGGCTCGCATTAAATATATTTAAAGAGAAAATGGAATTTGGTTTTGTTTATATATATATATATATATATATATATAGGTAGTCAGATGGAAGCTACCGAACTGGGAAGAGAGAGAATGGATGATTGAATTTGTGACTTTTGGCGGGTCCCAACTGGGTTTTGATTTTTGTTTTACGTTTATATATTATATTATATATATTTCTTTTGTCTGATAAGAAGCAATGAGCTGCTGATACACGAGATTTGGTGAGAAAAGAAGTAGTGGCGGGACCCACTACCTGGCTTGTTTGGCCAAGCGTCTTTGGGCTTCACGTGGGTTTGGTCTGGTTTTTTTTAATTTAGGAATGAGGTATATTGTATGGTGATGAGAAGGAGAGAGAAATGGGCTAATTGCTTTGTGTGGTGGGCTGAGGTCGCAGGCAAAGCGGGATAAGAAGTGGAGGAGCAGGTTGATGAAATGATGAGATTTTGGCAGACCACTTATTGACTTAGGTTTGATCTCTCCACGGGGGTTTTTCTAAGTTGAAAGTGGGTTTGTTGGCTGATTTTTTTTTTTCGTGAAGTTGGTGAATTTGCTTATTTAAGCGGTCTTGAAAGAAAGAGAGCAAAGTTGAAAATTAGAGAGAGACAGTGAGAGCCGAGAGTTAGAGAGAGAGAAACAGAGTGAGTTGAGAGAGGGACAGAGGAGCTGAGAGTTGCAGAGGAGGTCGGAGCTTGAGTATTGATGATCCAGTGGGCAACTAATCTTTTTTTTTTTAGTGTAGGATTCTCTATACCTTGAATGGCATGGGGAGATTTTGTTTTAATGTTTTTATTAAATATTTTTAATTAAATACATATGTATTAAATATATATGTTCATATTGTGATGCTGTTTTATTAAATCTTCATGGAATTCTTGTTATGGTTTTTTTTATTAGGATTTTTTGTCTCATCACTCTCCAGTTTCATGAACGGGGATTGCTAGAGACGCGCTTGAAAAGTTGGCGTTGCAAGATTTATTTTTTTATTTGGAGAATTTTTTTTGTATAGTGAGATTATTGACTTTGTATAAAAGACAGGCAATTTTTATGATCATGGTGTATTTAAATGTATTTGTATTTAAATAAATAGAGAATTTTATTGGAATTGTCGAGACGTGACAAAAATAAATAAATAAATTACTTTTGAAGTTTCCTTTCTTTTCATTTTCTTCGTTCACACTAGTGTTCACACTAGTGGAAGTGTCATTTTCTTTAACAACTAAGGTAAGAAAATCACCACGCGTTGTCTACGCGGAAAATGCTTGGCAGCTTCTTGGAAATCTTCCACTTTAAGGTAGACAGTAGAGACTGAACATTATAAATACATATCACACACACACCACATACTTGTATGTGCCCTCATTTGATCGAGTACTTATTCGATTGTAAGAGAGATTGATAGATCATTTGTGTTGGCCAGCTTAGTCCAATTTAATTTCAGTGATAAACTCCTATATATATAGTCCTAGCTAGCTCCATCTATGGTTGCCGAAAAGAGTTTTGCTCTGAAACTGAACATCCAGTGCGGCTGCGAGGGGTGCTTGGGAAATGTCAAGAAAGTACTCAAAAAGGCTGACTGAGTGCATTCAAGCAACATTGATGCAGATGAAGGGAAGGTCACCATCTCTGGTACCGTCGATCCACACGCCCTATTAGCGGCTTTTAGAAAGTATTTCAAGAATGCAGAGGTTTTGCAGGAGCAATTCGACTCCAAGACCATGCAAATTGTACCTACAAAACCAGTTCATCACAACCCACCACAACTACTGCAGCAATTGTCCCAAATTATCGACCAAGAATCTGTTGGGAAACGTGCAAGTTTTAAAAACTTTTCGAGGGATTTTGATTCATAGATCTTGATTCATCACATAGAGACAAGTTTTATGCAAAAATAAAAATATGATGTATCATTCAATTAATGGATTGAATACTTACATCAAAGGTCTGAATAAACCTTTAAAACTTTCCTCTAAAGTAAATGTTCTCACTTATTGTAGATCCCTTAGCAAGATGCCTTCTCTTTGGATCTCCATCTTCTTGGTAATTATTTTGCCTTTAGGAATCACTCATATGCTTCCATGAATGACCTTGAAAAATTAGGCTTGTGGGAGCCTCCATTAGATGAGAACATAAACCCTAATTTTCTAGAGAGAGAAAAATATATTCCTTTTTTTCCTTCTCATAAAAATCACACCCTAAAATATACATAAACCATGTATATTTATAGGCAACATAAAAATAAAGAAAGGGAAACAACAAATCCTTCTCCATCTCTAATTCATATGTCTCAAATCTAATATGATTCCAATATCAAGTTGGGCTATGAGTGAGAATCCATTGGGCCTATTATTTTATTAGCTACAATGAATTAATAATTGGCTCGGTCCATGGACCCAATTCAATTAATTCATAAATTAATTTCTACTCCGCTAAAAGAAATTAATTGAACTCCAATTAAATAATAAATAACCTCTAAGTCAATATTGCACTTTGACCCCTCTATGCATAATTAGTTATCGGATAAATAAAGCCATCAATCTGACTACTTAATTAATATATCTATTTTGGTACCTTTGATTATTTCTGGCTCGATCACAATAAAACATTTGTTTGACAAAAATAATAATTTAAATAAATAAATATATAATAAATCATTTTGTCTAAAAACACACGAAGGCCTTCGAATTTACTTTGTAATCAACCATAATCAAAACAAAATAAATACAAGTAGCAATGATGCAAATATTGAAAATATAACCCTCTAACTATTAATTACATAACTACCCAAAGTGTCGGTCTAAGGATCCCGAAGAATCCGCCGAACAAATCAAAGTAATTATTAATTAATAAAAGAGTCTATACTTTTCTCATGCTTAAGAGTCAAATGCCATGACGGTGATAGGGAGTAATTGCATACGACGGCTCTCGCAATATATCTCAACTTAACGCGGATCCAGTTCAAGTCTTAATTAATTATGAGTCCATCCATAATTACCGACTATGAACAATTTATAATTACTATTTATATATCATGCATTGATTGCCATCACATACATATATATAAATATTTCTTGTAATTACATGGACACTATCAATTTCATAGTGAATCGAAACATAATACATTGAATTCACCAATTATATAAATCATAAATATTTCAGATATGTCAGGAACATATGTCACTATAATCCAGATAGGAATTTGCTATACCAGGGCATATAAATCCCAACAACTCCCACTTGCCCTCATAGCCAATTCAAATTGCACCTAACTCCAATGTTATCCAGATGATGATCAAAATTATTGATCAATGACACCTTTGATAATGGATCAACAAAGTTGTGTTCCAATGCAATGTTCTAACTACAAGTCCATTTTCTTGCCGGACAATATCATGTAGAACATGATACTTCCTCTCAGTGTATCTTGTTCCTCTATGGAACCTTGGGTCATTGGTTTGGACTACTTCTGCACTATTGTCACAACATAGCTCAATAGGCAGGCTAGTATACTCCACAACCTCTAAATCAGTGAGATCAAACTAATAGGCTTCCTTTGCCGCCTTTAAGGCTGCAATATATTCCACCTACAGGTTTAAGTCAGCAGTTGAAATCTACTTAACAATCTACCAACTGATCTCCCTTCCATTAAGTGAACATACACTAAGTCATGAACCTCAAGTATCTACTTTTGATTGAAAATCAGAACTAGCATACCTGACTAGGACTATATCATCACATCCATAAATGAATATGATATCATTGGTTCTCCTTAGGTACTTAATGATATTTTTCACAATAAACCAGTTGTCAAGTCCAGTATTGGACTGATCTCTACTGACTATCCCTACTATGTAGCGGATGTCCTGTTTGGTATAGACCATGGCATATATGAGACTCTTATATGCCGAAACATATTGTTCCAGTCTCATTTGCTCAATCTCCTTTGATAGTCTTGAAAAACTACTTACTAGAGAGAGCCATCCATATCAATAAAGCAAGAACTCATTCTTTGAGTTATGCATACCAAACCTGGTCAAAACTTTATCAATGTAGGATTATTAAGATAAGCCTATTTTCCTTTTAACCTGATCTTGCAAAAGCTTGATCCTAGGAATCTAGCTTACATCCTGAAAATCCTTCATTTAAAAGTAATTGAACAACTACCTCTTTATTGATAACAAAACTTCCACATCATTCTAAATGAGTAGGATGTCATCAATATATATAGAATTAGAAAAATAATGACATTTCCTTGTACACTCATGATTTATTCACTAAGAAATCTTCTGGTATCTTTTTGTAGATTAACTTGCCTTCCATAGGAATCACCCTACTAGAAAGTTCTACAAGATCCCAGAATTTATTAGAATACATAGATTCCAACTCTGATTTCATAGAAACTCACCAAAACGATCTGTATCCACATCGGTTCACGCTTCCGTGTAGCTTACTGGGTCCAACTCATGTTTAACAGGGATGTCCATAATGGTCTCACCTAAAAACATGATTCTGTCGAATTGGATGATAATCCTCCCACTACATCAATGTACCGATGCAAGAATCTGTGTAGTAGATGATGCTAACGCATCAATAGGGAATTCATATATTATTCTCAATCTCTATAATAAGTGTGTTCACATGTGGTACATTTGGTACTCATACCAAATTCTCTAACATTATGCTACTAGGTATGTGATTCATAATATGATTCTCCTATAGATAAACAGTGAGTGAAAACAATCAACTTTTATCTTTGAGATCATAAAATAATCCATCCTAGTGACATTTAGAGTAGCTATCAAATCTAGCATGCCTATGATCTGCTTCCAACTTACTTGTCTATATCAAGCGCACATGTGCAAGACTACCCCATATGTGCATATGATTCAAACTAATATTTAGTAAAAAAAACACAGCTCAACGGTATCCTTGAGACAGACTAAGATGGAATGCAGTTCATAATGCGCATCGATGTCATTAACGCTAAACTCTTAAAAGAAAGAGATAATGTAGCATAGCTGATCATAGATCTAACCATGTTAAGTGGAATTCTGTTATTCCTATTTGACACCTAAATACATTTAGTGTCAATTGCGGAAAACTGATACATAATACCCTCATTGACCATATAGTCTTTGCACTATCCCAAGAAATACTCATATCCTCGATCAGATCGAAGTGTCTTGATAAGTTTACCTAATATGTGTTCCACATCAGTCTTAACCTTCTCAGAAAATACCAAGAGTTTAAGACTTGTGTTGCATCAGATAAACTTATCCAAAACGTGAGTAATCTTGCTTGGATGTTCATAAGACCACACGTGTCAGTGTGTACCGACTCCAATTGTCCTTTATGTCTATTTCATCTGGCTGATTAAGCCCTAAGAGTTATCTATCCTTCAAAACAGGGTTCACAAGTTTGGTTTAGGCTCCACTGCCTCACTAGGTAATTAACCTTCTTTGACCAATCTTTGAATCTCATTTTAATTGATAACAACCCAAAAATAGACATTAAAAATACAATGAGTCAGAAATAACAAATTTTCTCTTAACCTTCAATCTAGAGATGCAACATTAGTTTCTACATCCTGCAAATCTTAAGAGTTTGTGATTATAGTATATTAACCATCTTTCAATGCACCAGAAGCAATCGCATATCTATTCAATTTTATAAAACCAGTTTTACAAAATAACGATCTAGTTTTTATAAGCCACAAGTGAAACAAAAATTAGATAGCGTCTAACCTCTGTGCATAAAGATAATTCTCTAATACTAATATCCTCATACTCTCTAATTTCAGATGTAATACTCTCACTGACTTAGCTACAACCTTGACATCAGGTCAAGTGCAAATATATTCCATATCATCGAGGCTTCTGGATTCCTGAAATCCGTGCAATGAATTGCAAACATGTTTAGTGGCTCCAGAATCTATTCATCAGAAATTAATAGATACAACCACATAACATGGCTCAATGATTAAATATATATTTTCCTATGCCACGTCATTGCTTAGACAGTTTGTCCTTTAGTGTCTTAGTTAGCGACAAAAGAAACAGTTTTCTTTGCCCTCAACATACACTGCCTTATTCCCTTTAACCTTTTGGATACCCATGTTTTGTGCTAGCCTAGTCCTATTATCATCCTTTGCCCGTCCACTTGGGCCTAGAAGAAGATGGTATAGACTAGGTTAGATTGATAGGAACGCCCATACTTTTAATTATCCCTTCATCTGTTACCAATTCTATAAGAATATCAGCGAGTGTGAACTCAAACTGATTCCTTATTTAGTTCACTCTAACAGAGTCGAACGAGTTTGGTAACAAGGCAATAATCATGTCAACTTGAAACTTACCACCCAAGTCAGTCCTATTGATCTCCAGCTAATTTTAAATAATAAACAATCATTTTCCAAAATTTGATTTCAAACTGGAGTTCATGAGGCTATCTTGATGGTAATTAAATGTGACACAGTACTTAGGCATATGCTCTATCTAATCTCACCAAAATATCTCATTGACATTTAATATGATGCTTGAAGAAAATAAAATAATACAAATGTTAACTTTGGAGTATATTCGAGCTAAACTCTAGAATATTGCACCAAGTCATATCATTTGCCTTATCTAATTTATTAAAAGCATTAATGTCAAATTTGGTATCTCAAAGTAAAAGAGATAGGTATAGGAGTAATAAACACATTTTGTACTCTTACGTTGTGAATAAAATAT